GGTCTAGATAATTCATAATGGTAGGATTATTGATGCAATAATACTATTGTAGAATTAAAGAAATCTGAAAATATATATATATTTATTTATTTACACTTACGTATTTATTTATACAAACATCATACATCATATATATATATGATGTATGATGTTTGTTTCTTGAGGATGAGGATTTAAAGGTGAACTTACTGATGTCTGTGCCACATCTGTAGACTTTTATGATTCATTGTTTTGAGATTTACAGCTTAATGTTTTTTTTTTATTTGTTTGTTTTATTTTCAGTTTTCTGCTTGATTAAAAAAAAATACTTAGTTACAGTTTGTGTTGTAACTAAAAAAAATAAAACTGTGGCTTTGCCTTCTGGAAGAAAACCCTGAAGAAAACCATGTCCTACATATGATATTTCCCCCACAGATGTGAACAAACACTAATAGTTAAGTTGTAGTGAAGCCCTGAAACAACAATGATTATTCGTGTGTAGGGCAGTAAAATGACTGGAAATGCTTTCAGTTATTCTGTTTTCTTTTAATGGAAAATCTTAAAAAGTTGTATTGTTAAACTACAACTTAAAAGTAAGTAGAATTCTTAAACTGAGTAAAGGTCAGTAAAAATACTAGAAAAATATTGGCTGTTAGCTGATGTGATCACTGTGGCCTGGTTTTGTTTTAAGAATAAATTTGCACTGTTAAACAGAAAAGTAACTAAAACAGTCAAGTACATGTAGTGGAGTAAAATTACTGATGGAGAAATGAAGGATTCAAATAAAAACACAGCAGTGATAATTGGCAGATGACAGGATGTGCTTCATCTGAAGGCTTCACCATTCAAGGTAAACATTTTTCATTTCATTTCACATTTGGCTGAGTTTTGTTTTTGCTGCTGTACAGTTTTTACATTTTCTCATTTTTTAACAATGTGTTGAAAACATTCGCTGACAGCACCAGATCCTTTCTTTGGATTCTCACCGTAAACATTCTGCACCAAACTTCATATTAACCAAATTTTTCTCACCGAGAAGGAAAGAAAGCCGATCTCAAAGAGAAGGAGCGACTTAACCATGAATGAAGGCATCATAAGAAAATTAATCAGCACATTTAAAACAAGCGTCTCCAACAAAAATAAGTCAATGGACTCTTCATTTGCGTAATTACACACTGATTGCAGTAATAGGAAAGTTGGGCCCTCGTACGTTGTGTCGCTTCTTTCCTGCCGTTTTAAGCCTGGACTAATAGCACATCTGGACACAATTGATTTAATCAAAATTAAACCTTCATGGGAATCTGCATTTCCCCACACTGGTGTTTTATTGAATTTGTCCATTCGATTTGTGTGTGTGTGTGTGTGTGTGTGTGTGTGTGTGTGTGTGTGTGAGAGAGAGGGAGATCTGTGGGTGTAGCGAAGCAAGGCGGCTGTTAAAGGTCGTGACCCCGTTTCCACCCTGGTTAGCATCAAAGTGAGTTGTTATTGTTAGCTAATTGTTAACACAAAAATGCCAAAGTGCTCTGACAAATGAAAGCATCTCATGCACAGTTTGTCCTCTCAGGATCTTTTTCGCACACGGGAGGAGAAGAAAGTGCTGCGCCGCCGAGCATCATCAGCCCGCTGATTACGGGCCACAGCTACACACACGACAGGCCAACAAGTTGACTTTAGCATTAGGTTTTTCAAATGATTGTTTACCTGCAGTGATTATTTGCACAAAACTGAGTGAACCAAGTCAGTATTGAGTTATTATTTAGTAATTGTTAAGGGTAGCTGATACAAAAGGAAACAATTCACTTGTAGGAAATGTAGAATTAGGAAAAACAGATTTTTCAAATGCACCCAGACCATCTTTGTTCATGCTCAAAAATCTTAGTTCCCTTGTTTAATTTCGGCTCCCTTAACACCTCTCCTCACTTGTTTCTTTGCCAAAATCTGTCCCCTCCAGAGGGCAAGTGGGATCACAATTTAAATGTCAGCGTATTAAAAACAATGCCTGCAGAGTGTTACAGTGTAACTGCTCTCATGGCCGTGCTGCGGCGCCTTAGCGATCACAGATGTGCATGTGCTGCCCTGCACTGCTTTGAACACCCCCTCGGTCCTGTACGGAAGTCCCAGTTGGTCAAGACAAATGTGCCAGATGTGTAAATTACGCTGGAATGTCAGGTTAAGTTTTGTTTTTGTTTGGGCGTGCAATGGTGCAGGATCACCCCTCAAACACCACCGCGACCACACTTTTCCTCTTGCCTTTTATTCATCCCTTTCTTCCCAGTTCAGGCCTGTCATTAGCAATAATGTGCAGTCATTCTTCTACCAACACATTGGGAAAGCTTACAGAGCCTGTTTTCGTGATGAGAAGTGGCATACTCAACGCTTGCAATTTTCAGCAATTGTTTGGAGCTGCTCCCTTCTGCGTGGATTAACCGCTCTGTCAGCCAGCAAGAACTCCTCTGCTGGCAGGAAGCTTAGAGGTGCAGAGAGATGTCTGGCTTCTGCTGACACCCAAACACACAAAGATACACCGTTTTCCTGTGTTTTCTAGGTTGCTTCCTAAAAAACAATCTGTCAAGTTAACCTTGACGGTGAAAGAACTACAACCCCCGTGGCTGTTAACTCGAAATAAGTCCAAGACTAATATCAGCACATAACAAAGTATCAAGATTAAGCGCCTGTTCTATGTGAAGACATGGATTTTTATTTTTAATGTTATTGCAATTAAATTCACTTGTATTCATAAAGCATCACTTCATAGCAAGACTCACCTCAAGCCTCATGTTAGGGAGACAACCCCATCGAAATCACAAGCACTTGGCGGTGACGGTGTGGAGGAAGAACTCCCTTTTAACAGGAAGAGACCCCAACAGAAGCAGGCAGCGATCTGCCTGTGGCCCAGGGAGGCGAGGACAAAACACACACAAAAGTTAACAGGATGCAGCAGCGATGAACAAAGACGTGAGTAGAGGTGCTCAGTGCCTTATGTTCCCCAGCAGCCATTGTCTATTGCAGCATAGCATCCATACATTTCCAAGTTTACAGTTTGTAGCTGAAAAACAGTAACACATAATAATAGTTGTTCATATGTTAAGACGGCAAATTACAGTTATGTACAGGGGCTGAACGCTTGATTCATTTCCAGTGTGCCAGCTTAAATCTGGGAGTAAAAACCTGAATGCATTTTGTTATTTGTCACATAAACATTTGGTTTAAAAAAGGTTTTAAAGGTTTTAAAATATTTGTGTTTTCTTGTTTTATATGACAGGCCGTCTAACAATAGCACATATTAGTGAAATTAATGTTTAGTGCTCATTTTGTATCATTTCTTTACAGTTAGACCCTCCCTATGTCCATGCATGTGTCAGGCACTACTGTTATTATTTTCATTATACTTATTTATGTATTTTTTACAAAACTTTTCAGATAATACTTATCTATCTATCTATCTATCTATCTATCTATCTATCTATCTATCTATCTATCTATCTATCTATCTATCTATCTATCTATCTATCTATCTATCTATCTAT